ATCTATGCTCAAAACAGCAGTCGACAGTCGGCCGTAAACAATTCCAGAAAGCGCGCGCCGAAGTTCCTGGGCCATACTGCGCAGTGTGATGCGCAGTGGTTTGGCTCGCAATGAGCTAGAATCAGCGTTGATGAAAAATCGCTTGAACGCAAACCGCAGTGACCTTGCTTTTTGTAACGGCGTTTTGAATTGTGATTCATGTTTGTGATTCTAGCTTCGAAAATTCGATTGAACGCACCCATAGTCTCAGCTACAACATACTTAAAAATCAACAAAAATCAAGCCGAAATAACGGCGATATTGCTCGCAAAAGACAAGAATGTAGAATCCAGATTTGAGAAAAAGTCATCTCCCATAAGGATTACACGCAAAAAGTAATGGATCTAGTGATAATAGGGTAATAATAAAGTAAATATGGTTGTTTATTACATTATTTGCGATTGTACGTGTTTTAATATTCAAAGGAGATGGTAGAGTGAATGGTTAAAAAGAAAAAAAAGTGAAGAAAAAAACGCCCGGAGACGCCCGGACTCGAACCAGGGACCTCGAGGTCGGAAGTCAAGTGCGTTATCGATATACCAAAACATTTCCCATAGAGATTACACGTAAACGGAAAATGGAATGCACAAATCCCACTTTGTAATTGAAATATGAGCATGATCCCGGCATCTGATTGAAAAATAAAGGGCACACTTGTGATAGCTTATTGTCTCAGCTACAACATACTCAAAGTTCAGCGTAAACAAAGCTAAAACGACGGAGATATTGCTCGCAAAAGACAGGATGTAGAATCCAGTTTTGAGAAAAAGTCATGTCCCATAGAGAATACACGCAAAATGTGAAAAATTGACATGCCTCCTTTAATCACAAAAATACGCCATGATGCCTTTGTCAAAATGAAATATCGTGTTGACTGCATTTGTAGAGAATTGTCTCAGCTAGATCATATCAAAATTTGAAAGAAAATTGATCAATATTGACAGAGATACAGTCTATTTTCCAGAAATCTGCTGACGTCATAATATGCAAATTGAAATTTTGAGTTGGGAGGCCATTATGATGACGTCATGAGTTAATTGAGGGTCAAATGAGACATGAAATCATATTTCCAATTCATACTCTATCAAAATATGGAGAAAAAAATTGGGTTCAACTTGCATCCTAAAGCGCTACAATGGATTTTGTATAGGCATGTTTTTGCCCATGTATGCTATGTATTACGAGAGCTCGCACGCACGGACATTATCTTAAACGGACGCTCATTCCGTTATTACTGGTCAGAAAAAGGTGAACAAGGTATCAAAATGCTTGGAAAAATGTGTCAAACATGATGACAGAAAAAATTCAGCGATTCTATGATGCAAAATATCAGAACGCGCGAAAACGCGCGCCCATCCGCGTGTGCGCGTTTTTTTGCAAAATGCCTGAAATGGCCTGAAACGTATGCAAAATTAATTTAAGACGATTTAGAGAATTTTTATTTTTTGCGCGCGCGCTGACGCGCGGACGTACGCATGCGCGCGCGTTTTTTGACCTGAAATTGACCGGACGGATATTGACCTTAATCATGATGAATATGAATGAGAAATGCCTTTCCGTTATGAAGATATGATCGTGAGTAAAAAGTACCCCAAAAAACACAAAATGGCGCCTGGATGACGTCATGAAAATTTGATGACCTTGAAAATGTTACTGTCACGTCTCATGACAATGGCCTATGACTGTGCCAAAATTGAAGGAAATTGATTGAACCGATCTTGAGTTATCCTGTGAACAAAAAAGTGTGAAGAAATAAATAAAAATAAAGAATAATAATAATAAATAAATAAATAAATAAATAAAGAAAGAAAATTCTGACGAAAACAATAGGTGATCTGTCGTTGACAGACCACCTAATTACCAATTATAAATAATTTTGTGTAGAGTTTTAAAGGGGAAGTCCGCTCTGATATTAATTTTCGAAGTTGCAATCAATCAAACACAAATTGGCAACTCTGTGGCGTATCTTGCACGCTCTCCTCCCATTTCCTCTATACAGACAATTTCATAAACTTTCACTTTTTTAATTATTGATGACGGAATAGATTTGTTTCATATAACAGGGGTTGTATAAAAACATATTTACAACAATTTTATTTAGGGTGCATGTATGACTGGAAATTTTCTTTAGGACAAAAAATTTAAAAAGTCTGATTTTTGAATACAGATCAATAAGGAAGGGAGCTTGCAAGACCCGTTACAGAGTTGCTAATTTATGTTTGATTGATCAGAACTTCAGAAATTCATCAATTTCATATCGTTATTCGATTTTGCTCAAAAATTCAGAACTATTCCTCTCTTTTGTTTGCATCTATTAAAATCATCTCAATTCAATATCAGGGTGGACTTCCCCTTTAAAGCAAAGATCCTATCAAATATTTATTATCATTCCCTTACATATTAAAAGCAATCTAAAGGCTTGTTAAACATTGACAAAGTACACTGCAACCGTTTATATAATGACAAAAGCGTAATTTTCTTTACATTCTTCATTCAGAAAGTCCTTTGTTGCCCACAGATACATTTTTTATCCCAACTAACCATTAATCTACACCTGAAAAAAGAACCACAAAGGTTTACCACTTACACTGTAAGAGCCTTACAAGTAGCAGTCATCAAAAAGGTTTCCTGCCATTTACACAGCAGTGGACTCTTTGATGTCGATTACAGATGTAAATAGCATTGTTGATTACATACAGATCAATACTACTTTGTAGCCAGGCATTTTCATTTCCAAGAACTACATAATCTACAATGTATGTTGGGTTGTTTTCCAAGTGTATCTATCATCAATGTAGCTCACCACATCACGATCGTATAAAGCATCTAAAGAAAGATTGATCCTCAAGGTTTAAGTCTGTGGTAAACTAATCAAAGTGAAAAACAATATTTTAATTCAAGGAAGATGATAATCTGTTTACAGTATTTATCAACAACATATTGTACATGTAGAATTATTTTGAAGAGAGCTGACAAAAAGAGGTGTTTTTAATCAGATGTGTAGGGCATGGTGCTTGTGACAGCAATGATAGTGGTGACAGCGATAGGATGAAAGTAATGATGAAGATGATGATGATGATGATGATGGGATGAGCAGGAAGTAGAACAGGAGGAAGAGGAAGATGGTAATGATGATGATAGTAATGTTGATGATGGTGATATGAGGGATGTGATGATGATGATAGTTATGATAATAATGAGGATGCATTGAGCAGGTGGATAAACATGAAGAAGAGGAAGAGGGGGAGGAGGAGGAGGAGGAGGAGGAGGAGGAGGAAGATGGTGATGATGGTGATAATGAAGAGAAGATGATGATGATGATAATAATCAGGAAAAGCAGGAAGAAACAATGGAGGAGGAGGAAGATGATGACGATGGTTAAATAAGGGATGGTATGATGATGATTATGATGTCTGTGATGCTGATGACAATAATGATGTTGATGATGATGATGATGAAGATGATAACTAGAAGATGATGACGATAACATGAGGATTAGCAGGAAGAAGAAGGAGAGGAGAAAGAGGAAAAGACGATAAAGAGAAGAATATGATGATGATGCTGAGGAGGATGATCGGTGATGATCAAGGTGCTTGTGGTGACAATAAGAAATGAAAGTATAATGATGAATAATGACTATGGTCATATGTTTTAAATTTAATAATTTACATGATTACATTTTTTTTTAAAGAAAAAGGTACACCTGAAAAAGCAATTGTGGCATTTCTTAGAATGGCTGTCAGCCAAGAACGAACAGTTGGTAGCTCATATATTTGCACCTGTTGTGGGGTGACATTAAACAGTGAACTTGGGATACAAGGGTTCAACCTTCAGCTGTTTGCTATGTTTCCTTAGAATGTCTTGATTTAAGATGCTCAAGAAGTTATTGCTTCCCTGTCTGGATATACACTCTGCCTACTACCCACGTTTGCAATCCATTAAATTAGCTTCTGCTTTTTAAGACATTTAACTTCTGTTGACTTTAACTTGGCATACAGTATTAGGTTCAGCCATCAGCTGTTTACAATGTTTTTCACACATTAATGTCATGATTTAGGGATTTTAAAGACATTATTGTATCCCTAATTCCCTATACGTTCATCTGCCAACTCCCGCAGCATAAGTTATGACTCTCTAAAGCCAAAATTAGGAACGCAGCGTATTGTGCATGTCTTTATACCAATGTTTTTTTCCAAAATCAAGAGAAACCTGGTGCTCACAACACTAGTTTGAAGACCCCAAAATAGGAATAATTATCTAAAATAAGAATGATTTGCAGTTATGTTCACCTACATGTACAGTAGTAGTGCTTATTTTCCTAGGTTAAGTTGATGTTTTTCTTGTTTTTGGACTTTGGACACAGCCCCAGTAAAGCAATTCCTTTAAACATGGGGGTTTCATAAAAGAAATTGCATCATTTCTATCCAAGGCTGACACCGCTCTCTCAGCCAAGTTTAGTAGGCACTTGTCTTACAATCTTTCCTGTTCAAAAGTTTATCTAACATCTCCAATGTACATTTCTGAGGGAAATAACAGGATTATGAATAAACTGTTGCTTTAGTTGGCATGGAAACAAATAGCAATGCAACGACAACACACACCAAAAGTGCAGTCACCCCGACATTGCTCATGCATGTACATTACACACACCTACACAAAACTTCATTAACTTTAACAAGGTTTGGTGGCTGGCAGGTTGAGGAGCCTGTTTTTATTCTTCAAGATTTACGTCCCTGGATTAAATTTGGAACTAAAATAGATTGACTCAATTTACTTGCTTCGGGATATATAGTCTGGGGTGAGTTGAGAATGACAAGCCTGAGAAAATGTTTTGAAACTTTGAAGAACTTCTGTCAGAAACTTTCAGGCTTTTTATGAGGTTGAAAGTACTACATCAATCAGCAGATATTTACAAACTAGATCAAAAATTGAAGGAGGAAAATAAAATGAAGTTTGATGGT